AAATCTTGCTTGGTCCAATTATGGCTGTCAGTCAACAGCAATGTTTTTACTGCTCATTGAAAATTAGTTTTTGCCCTAATGTAACCACAATGCACTAACCACTAAAAGTGGAGTCAATGAAACAATGATTTGCTGGAATAAAGGAAATTTAATTGAACAGCAAATTAATTTGCATTCCTATGCACATACATCTAAAAATATTTCTGAAGTCCTTCAGTGAGCAAGAGAAAAAGCAAAGACGGGAGAGGATGTAAATAACCATAAAGGAAGAATAATTTACACAAAGTATAAATATAATGGAAACAAGCTATGAAATCCCAGGTTTTCCACAAAAATACACTAAGTAGTTTCTGTTTTAAAAGGTCCATTTTTCAGAGAACAGCCTTTTCCTTCTTCCTTTTTCAAAGGCCCCTTAAAAAAAACAAACCTCACTGCCATCAGGTTGATTCCAGCTCATAGCAGACCTATAGGACAGGGTAGAACTGCCCCTGTGGGTTTCCAAGACTGTAACTGTTCACAGGAGTAGAAAGCCTCATCTTTCTCTCGCAAATCAGCTGGTGGTTTTGGTGCATTCGAACTGCTGACCTTGTGCTCAGCAGCCCAAGTAACCAACCCAGCAAGCCACCAGGGCTCCTTTACAGACACTACTCGGGCACTGATTTTAGATGGAGGGAAAAGAGGGGGAAAGTAATTCAAGGTAAACTTCTATGAGCTCAACCTTAAGACTAATATGTTGCATATGTAGTTTCTATACTACTAAACAAATTGTAGAAAACCCTGAAGCTGAGCGTATGAGAGCCAGAAACTGTGCGCCTGGGTGTGATATTGCAAAGGCTTTGCTACATTCACCTCTCCTGCCTAGCATCAAGTCTGAAGAGTACCATTGTGCCCCAGGGGCAACTCAAGTCATTAGATAAGGGCCCTTTACCCCATCATTCTCCCTGAAATTTTTCCAGAAACAGCTCAACCAGGACAAATCAGCCCTTATTCTCTATATAATGTTTTCTCCGTTGTTTGTATTCTTTTCTCTGGTAGGTTTTATGTGATACACTAACCGAGGTTAATAAGAAAAAGGATTTATAAGTTTACACACACATGTATAGATTTACATGAATTTTTATTTACTCTTTTCCTCCAATATGGCAATGTTCATAAAAGTGCAAGAAAAACTTTCAGCATTATTTCTGTCAGCCCTTCAAAAAGGCTGTTAGTGTCACGCAATATTCTATTTTAAAGCATATAGCATGCAAACACACAGTGCAAACATAGATAATAATTACACAAACCCAGAGCAATAACTTCATGATTTCCAAGTCTTTTCAATTACATGTAGGGAGAATTCCAGTTCATTAAAAAAAACCGTTCTGCTTGGCATGACAAAACTGACAATGGAGTATTTCCCTTTGGCTCACAAAGCAGGCTACTACATTAGCGAAGGTTTCCCCTTAAAAGCACCAACACAGAATAGCATTCTTCTAGATAACATGCACTTTCCAATACCAACCATCCTCTGGATGCTTATGAGAAATTTACCACTAAGGTCTGATATTCATTGCTACTTAAAAGACACAACTAACACCATTGAAAATCCAGCAACACACTGCAAACCCTAGCATCCTTGCCAACTATGATCCCCTGGATATTAGCTTTCCACATTGTCTATAGCAAACAATTCACAACTCACATGGTTTGGGGTAAGAGCAAAATCCCTCCCTGAATTACATATACTGAGATAAGACTGGAGGATGGTATGACTTATCTGGCCTTGTTTCAGATTCTGCAATCAAATAACAGTCAGTGTGGTACAATCGTACTGAGCTTTTCTGTTCTCTAATAAGATCACTCCCAACAGAGCGTTTCTCATGTTTACAGTGACATCTATCAGCCCGTCCTGGGGAATCCCAACGTCACTCAGCCTTTTTCAGCACCACTCTCTGAGAACAGCTTCAGTCCACACAGTGGTGCAATCTGGACAGGTCTCTGGCGCACAAAGTGCATAGTGGAAAATTAAGAAACTGTCTGCAAAAATGCTCTTTCCTGACCTTAAAACCACACAGTTATGTATTAATTAACTGCAGGATATACACATCTCAAATGCCATCCCAAATTTAAACAATTGGCAATCGCCAGGCACCAATTTTAAAGAAGTGACACACTGTTTCACAGGCAGACTGACCATGGCATGGGGCTGAGTTTTGTAGAAATTCACGGAACCCAGCTGTCTGTTGACAGATACATAAAGATGGGAGGGGGGGACTATTACGCAAGAATTTGTAAGCATGTGTGGTGTGCAATTATGTTAATGCATGGTTTGAGAAGAAGCCCTGCTATGTTTTAGTAGTTACATGATAATAAATAAATTATATTGATATATGGATCCTAGAAATTATTTTATCAATGGCATAAAACGCAATGCTACCTCAAGGAGACCTGTACATAATACTTTTCAATGGGGGAAAAAACCTGGGAAATCGATTGTTGAAACTTATCTTCCAAATTTTTTCTTGAGGGCCTACATCTGAAGCTTCATAATTCCATTAACTTGTCCTGATTTATGAACGTACCAAAACATATTCCAAACTAAAATATGGTGGGGCAAAAATTGAGACCACTTCTCCAAAAATAAATTTTTTAAAACTCCCAGTATACTTTTCACAACCTCTTTACAAGATACAAATTGCATGTATCTATCTACCTATTCGCCGAAAATTCTGCTACATCTCCAGAGAAATCTCAGCGCACCATCTTTCTCCCATGGCTCACACCACACATGAGACACAAACCATGGCCCATGGATCTACCTTCTGGGCTTTAAAGCGAAAGGAAGGTGTTCCCATCCTATAAGATACACTCTTCCACCTTCAAAGAGGGGGTCAAAAGAGAGAAAGAAACCACCTTCATCAAGAGCCTTCATCAAGAGCTCCTAAGCAAAGTCAAGCCAAATAGCACAGCCAAGAAAGGAGCCCTCACCATCCACTCCAGTTGATGGCCCAACTCCCACAGGATTAAAAAGTTTCCCGCGCCCCGACCAAAGACCGAACTTGAATTTTCACCCTGTCCCAACGGAGGCGCTGCCCTTAGAATGCTCCAAATCCCCGGGGTGCGTGCGCCTGACCCCCGGGACCCCGGGACCAGCTCCGCACAGCCGCGCGCAGCCGTCGAGTCGCCGCACCCGCGCGCCCTCCGCGAGTGCGCCGCCGCGCCCACGCGCCCGCGCGCCCGCCCGGCCTGGCGAGGACACTCACCGCAGCGCTTGCACAGCACCCGGCCGACTTCCTTCTTGAGGTTCCGGCCGGTCTCCAGAGGCGGGAAAGAGGCTAGGAAGGCGGCGGGCGCGCGGCTGCTGCTGTTGGCGTCGGGCTCCATGAAGAAGATGTACCTGCTGTCTTCCTTGAGCCTCCCGCACGAGGGGAACGCGGGGTGGCCCCAGGCCCCCAGGCGCACGGTGAGCAGCGAGTCCTTCTTCAAGCCCCCGGCTTTCACCGCCCACACCTGGTGCACCTTCACCAGATAGGGCGCCTCTTGGCCGGGCTCGCCGGCGCCGGGCGCTGGCACGGTGGGCCAGGAGGGCACGGTTCCGTTGGCGGCGGGCAGGGGCTCCCCGGGGCGCGGTCCCAGCGCCCCCGGGCCCGCGGACAGCGGCTGGCGCT